ATCAAATACTGTCCCAGATTTCGGGTAAAGTAATTGATTTTATCTTTTGGTAACTTATCAAAGATATTTGGGCCCATCTCATGAGGTGAATTAGAAGTAACCTTATATTTACAATACTGTATGTGGAAGTTATATTTTTGACGAGTATTCCTACTATGTATAATTTCATTGGTGATGAATTTATGTTATTTTAAAGACAAAAATTAACAATTCGAATATATACATGCTGACAAGAGTTAAAATGTTAAATTGTCTAAATACACTTCTGCAAGAGGCCCTTTTCGAGGTTTTGGTCATCATTCTCAAAATATACTTCTGCGCAACGAATATATTTGATATCGAAGCCGAGTTACCCCACATACATATGCCATGACTCAGTCTGGAAGCTACTTGAGAATGGTACCTATAGTGCCAAAAGTTGCTGATATGTCAAGATATCTGTTAGGTTTCTGAAGAGATAACCTAATGAGTTGATTTTACTCGTTAAATTAGAACAGTGTTATCCATGTCCATGTCAAACATGCATCAATGGTAGTTCCCAAAATATTTGTTTTCCCAGAATTAAAATTGAATAGGCACGCAACGTTTTTGTCGATTGTGAAATCTAACCAATTGTGTTTTGTTTCCATTGAGATAGAGAGAATTTGCTCCTCACCAGTTCATAACAGATCGCAAAGTATATTTACATTTGTCTAAAAGTGAGTTTTCATCCATGTCAGATACTATTGAAGACGTGTCGTCGGCATACATTGTTGAAGAAGTATTCCTAATATGTGATTCCAAATCATTTGTATATATAGGCCCTAATACCGATCCTTGCGGAACACCTATTGAAATATTTAACAAACTTGAATTACATTTATCATAAGTACTCGTACTGTGGTTACTAATTGTAACATATTGTTGCCTATTTTCTAAAAATGATGAAATTCAGGAATGTGCAACGCCACGAATGCCGTATCAGTGTAACTTTGACTTTCACAGAGTACACAGAAGTTATTGGGTGACGCGAATGATATTATTCCAGGAATTATTACTAAATGTAGGTTTTCTACATCAATTAGCTTTTGGCTTTTCAGAAATTATTCAAAAAAACCGATACCTGTCTAACAATCTCCAATCTTTAACAGTCAACCAGCAACTATTCTCCATCGTCATTGTCTGAAAATAATGCCACAAGCTGGCTAATAAATATGAAACGACAAAAGAACATCGCGTGACAGGCTTAATACAGTGTGAATCGATTAATATTCAACATTTGACGCTCGAACTCACGACACCGCAACAAGCGATTCGATTGGCCGGCTGATTTGAATGGTAGCGTGTCCTGAATTTTGGAAAGCCAGTCTCCAGACGATACCTTTGTGTATTGTCTTTGAATAATGACCGCCTGGAATCGAATGCGTGATTAGGACACACATGTTGATTGGCGTATAACTCATAAGATCCCGCACGTGTGATTTTCCTGCATGACTGGAATTAGTTTTCATTTTTGGGTTTGTGACCTACCACGAACTTCAGAGGTAACCACCTATTGACTCAAACAAAGCAGATAAGTACGCCGTTGTATAGTTCAAAGAATACACGTATTGTTTGTGGTCTAAATTTCACTAGCTGGCCCTTCAAATATCTTGAGTAATAAGCTCATGCAGAATGTGTGAACAGAAAGATGAAACTGTCAGGCATGTCCGATGCGAATTCCCGAAGATAATTCCGTCAATAACAGAGTGTGTGTTCAGAGAGTCTTGGCCTTCACCTGCCGATATAAAGGAGATGTCTCCCAGAGACTTGTCCACCTTCCTGGAGAGGACAGGGTGGACGATGATCTAGGACAGTGGTCGCCAACCTCTTCAATGTGTTGAGCTACTTTGCTAATTTTGGAATAAACAGCGAGCTACCCACAAGGAAGCCACGTAACGCAACGTAAATGAAATAATCCACCGTTAATTTATCATTATATGTATTTATTTTACTATTTAACTGGTAATACATAATACATAGGTACTAATAATAAACTAATAACAAAATAACTAATATTACTAGTACGTACTTGTTCATAGCTACATTCCTACCTATCAAACGAAGGTGTTTGAAAAATAAACACAAACTTT